CGTCCAGAAGGTGGGTCACCTTGTCATAGAATATGCTTCCCATCAGTGCAGCATGAGCTTGGGACATTTTGGTGTTTATATGCAGTCATCTACTTGTAAGCCAGGTGTCTGATCTTCACTTACAGTCAATGGAGATCTAGTAAATATTCTCACTGGATCTAGAGAACAAGTCAGCTAACCTTAAAGTAGGCATTTAGTTTGGCTAAGTTGAGTCAGTTTAGGTTGTAGTCACAAGGAAAAGGCATGTTTACATTCATGTGTTAGTCTGGATCACAAGTGAGCTTGTGCCATGCTTTAGCTTGCACCTTGGTGCAATCTTGGAGTGCACCAATGTGGTTCCTTCTAGAAGGAACTCAACCAGAAGATACTCTTTATGCCCAAACCTAATGTACCCTAGCTGCCAAAGACTGTTCAGTCTGACCAGACTAGTTCTAGACCAAAGTAAACCTGCCTGAACCTACCTGAATCCAACCTGTGGAGGATGGATCTTCAGAACCAGTCATTTTGCTCTACAGTTCTGTTCCCACTAGTTTGCACTATTTGTCAAGGCAGACAGAGCCTTGAACATCTAAATTTAGGTGTTTCATTCTGGAGCTGAATTCTCCCTCCATTTCACAGCTGTGACTCTGAAAGGATTTTCTAATGGTTCCATAGAAGTAAAACTGAATCATAATATATAAATTTGGCAGCATGATAAAAAGAATATAAAATTTATGTGGACCACAATAATTCTGAACAATTTGTTCTTTCTTAAAGCTGTGGCTTTAAAAATACATGCTTGAAGTCAAATATAGATCATTGCATTTTTAAAATGACAGGTATTCTCACCACGACGTGCAAATCCAATCACAATGTCTGCATGTCCCTTGAATACTCTTTCGAACCGCAGTGGAGTCACATCACTCCATACCATAAAAGCCCTCCTAATTGCATAATCTACTTTCTTTTGGGATAAATCAGATGTATAATGGACAATCCTGGAAGCAAAAGGAAACAGATGAATGTAATTTAAGGTGTGAAGGAAACCCAGATATTTAAATACAAAGAATACCCTTTCCCCATAAAACCTGAAGCATCACTAACTTGTAAGTCAAATGTGTTTTTTTCCATCTTGGAGTTCCAGGAAATATTCTGTAATCTGCTATGTCAGGAAGTCCACATCTGGGCATTTTCATTATTTGTTCTGTTTCTGCATTTAATTTTCCAGTTATGGTCAGGTGGTAAAACCTCTGCATTTCTTTAATCCTCTCTTCTAAGCTTAAGATTGGTGTTTTTGAAAGAATTGGGAAGAATTTATCAAGATATGCCTGGAAGAAGAAAAGGAAAATAATAATTATTATGTATATCTGTGATATTTTGGTAATTGCATTTTTCATTTGATTGAGTTGTTTGATCATCCTGCAGTCATAGCAAGTTTTAGGTGTGTTTTTTTCTTCCCATTTCAGTTTACGAAATGCTGCTCTCTCTGTCGTATAGATTAGTATCTATGAAATAAGTATTGCAATTTCAACAAAACACTGTAAGCAAGCAATCCTTTTTAGTAAATGCAATTTACTGAGCATTCAATCCACAGCCTTCCAACATAGTACACATGATATTTTTGAGATGTTTTATAAATGACATGCTCCCCTTTATTTACCACTTAGAACTTGGTCTCTTTTTAAGTTAGACTTAGGGTGTCTAAACTAGTCAGCAACTTTAAATTGTTTTATATCATGTCCACAAAAACTGTTGTGGTAATGTAAGATAAGAAGATAATATAAACAGATAGGAAAGGAATGTAGAAGCTGAATAAAAAACCAGGTTATTCGTAATGTAGTTATGTTGTCCCCCTGGTAACATACCTTTACAATCTCAAGGCCTGTGTTGCTGAATGGTTCTGGTTTAAGTAGTGCTGGAAAAGCAAGACTCTCAGGTAGGAGGATAGCAGCACAAAGTAGCAGGTATTGCATAGTGCCCGGCTTGCCAGGGAGCCTTGCTGCAGCAGAAAGGGTTTGACCTTCTGTGTCTCAAGACTACAGCTAGAATGCTTATATAGATCCTGAGAGCTCCAAGCTGCAATGTGACTCACTTCGTGGTGGTGTTGAGGTAATGTCATCACTATTCTAAGAAGTAAATGAAAGCATGCTAAACAAATCTTTCCTTTGACTTCCCTGTTGATGTCATATCACAACTAACAGCCAGCTTTGGCTCTCTCTTTTTGTATTATTCCAGTAGTGAAAACACAGGGTCATAGGGAAGTTCACTTTCTGTAACTTCATCAGTACAGTTACTGTATAATCACTTCTTACTGCGCTTCCTCCCAAGTTCCTTATATGCAAAGGCATTTTGCAACAGGCTTTTGGGCAGACAGCCTGCCTGTGTTAGTTGCTGCAGAGGCAGAGGTGAGGTGGATAGGAGAAACATCTCACTGAAACTACTAGCACTTCCTAGGAAGCACGCACAGCACTGCCTCAGTAATTTTTCAGATTCTCTTGTGAGGTATCCTATGCTGCAGCAAAGTGAGTTAAGTAAAATCAAAGAGGTTTCTGTTGTTTTTATGGGGATTAGAAGAGAGGTCTTTAAGTGTGCCCTTTAGAAATAGGAGGCTGTGGGAAGTCTTTTTGCCTTTCCTCTCAGATGAGATGGCCTTTCAGGAGAGTCTCTTTACATGGGAGAACTAGATATGAAGCCTAATTTACAAGAATGGGTGAAAGCCCTCAGGAAAAAAAGAGAGGAGCTTACCCTAACAAATGTGGAGCTATCTTCTACCTCCAGCTGTACCAGTGCAATCTGATGGACTGGCAGAGAGAACCAAACCTGAACAGGGCAGCCACAACCTCCTTGGTCCTCTGAGACCAACACTGGTCTCAGATGCACTGTATCAAACCCCACTGTAGTTGAAAGTTTTGAGGACTGGAAACAGTGGTCCACAGGCTGGATTGTGTAGGGTTTTTTTCAGGCTGTGCAGTTTTGTGACCATATTACCTTAATCGGGAAGGAAAGGTGCATAAATGGGAAAAGACCATTACTGTTTCTTGCAGTAGGACAGATCGTATGGGTATAGCCAAGCATGTATGGAAGAGTTTGTGGGTTACTGGCTTAAGTCTAATGTACTACTGACTGATGTGATGAGAAAGACTTCGATTTCAGAGGGAGATGATCTATACCAAAACACTGCTGAACTATGCAGGAGAGGACTACATTACACAGTAATGTCTGAAACAGCTGCTCATGGAATGATGCTTCTACCTGATATTGAAAACTGCCCAGATACGTGCCATGTGTTAATTTCTGTACATTTTGTTAGGGTTACAGGATATCTACTGATGTCCAAATTTTAAAGCTTGATGAAAAAAAGATGGCTTATTGTTAGGAACAAGTTCATCTTTTTCTTCCTCGACAACTGACTTTATGTCTGACTGTGGCAGTAAAGTATGATGTGTGCCAGTGTCTGCGTGGCTGGAGATGAGGATGTGTTTAAACCACCTTGAACTCCATGACTTTAGTGTGTGGAAGTGATTATTTCCTCATATACACAAAAGGAATTTGAAAACCTCTAGGGACCCATTCCAGTTGACAAACTATTGAGCAACTCACTTGTATCTTTAACTAGGCCTAGAACTGAAAAGGAGAGTTTAAACATGAGACCTTGCTGAGAAAGGGAAGGCGTCATGTTCCGTTTTATTTTCTGCTCGAAATTTGTCAACTCCCCTCCTTTTTTTATTTTCCACAAAAGAGAGAGGGTTTCAATGGACGTTGGGCGTGGACTGAAATAAAAAGCTTTATGTGAAAATAATTTTCATTTATTTGGGCTCAAAATCAACAGGAATAAATCCAATTCTAATATGATCAATATCAAGAGGAAATGGATGCTGATTTTTAGATTTAGCTGTGTGAATTTTGCAGACCTTATCTTTTTGTCTTGATCTTGAATGACAAAATTTGTTGTGGATTAGGAAAAAGAATTTCCTACTCTAACATCATAGTCATATCATTTACATTCATTAGAGAACCTGTGCCTATGCCAGAAAGTATGGTCTGTGTAGACAAAGTTCAAGGTCAGAAGAAACACCAGTAGAGGCATTTAATGGTAGAAGTTGCTGTAGCCACAAGGTGAAAATAGAAGCACTCCATGATGTAAACTTGTATTAAGAAGACTCACAATATTGCCACTGAAATATTTATACTGTGGCATTTTTGAAGGTGAGTAACTTTGCTGTGAACAAGGATGCTTCATGAAACTATGGTCTCTGCAGAACTCGTTGATAGGCTTCAGAGGTTTTGTGGTCTAGAGAAAAATACATATATGGAAACTAAGACCTGAGCCTCTTTTGGACATGAGTGAGATGAAAAAGTGAAGTAGAACTGAATGATTCAGTGGTGAATGATCGCTGTTTCTTGGTCATTTGACTTGGACAGGAGGCTCAGCTGGATTCTGCCCAACCTGAATGCGGCCAACAGTGGAGTTAATGCAAGTCAAGAGCTGCTCAGATATCTTTGTGAATGTACTGGGTCTAGCTGGGATGGAGTTAACTTTCTTCATAGCAGCCTGTTGGTGCTGTGTTTGGATTTGTGACTAAATCGGTGTTGATAACACACCAGTGCTTTGGGTATTGGTGAACAGTGTTTGCACAGCCTCAAGGCCTCTGCCCCCACAGTGTATGGAAGAGGCTGGGTGGGAAAGAGGCTGGGACGGGACACAACCAGGACAGCTGACCCAAATTCTTCAGAGGGAGATTCCATATTATATAATGCCATGGTCAGAAATAAGACTGGGCTAGCAGAAGAAGAAGATGGAGTGAGGATAGTCTTCCAAGGTAGTTATTGACTGGCTGGACATCAATCTGCTTGCGGAAGATGGTGAGTCTTTGCATTACTTTCCCCACCCTACCCCTTTCTTTTACTTATTAAACTGTTTGTATCTCAGTCCATGAGCTTTCTCTCTTTTGCATTTCCTTATCTCTCACCCATCCCACTGTGGATGGAGAGCGAATGAGCAGCTATGTGAGTGATTAGCTGTTGGCTGTAGTCCACCCACTACAGTGAATATCAAGCAAAATTATGGCCAAAAATTCCTGGGAAATATCTTGTTTGGTCACTTAGGAATTATGCAGTGTTGTAATTTAGATCGTGCCAAACTGGACAGACCTGGATTCTTATCATCTCCAGGACACCTGTTTGATTTGTTCTGTCATCTGATTATTCAATTTAACTAACAAAAAATGAAATTAAAACATGTCAATTATTTCTGCAGAGCAAAATGGGTTTTTTGCATTGCGATTTTTTGAGGCTAAGCCCAGTGAGGATCAGTCTGCTTCAGAACCTTCCTGTTTATTTTTCCACAAAATGAACCTTCATCCTCCTTCTTATCTCAGCTTCACACGGCACACTCCATTTGGATGCAAAATGGCCTCTGAGCAACACAAATTTGCTGTCCCCTCATGGTTGCTACAGGCCATTTTTCTTGTCCAGGGCCTAGACTGTAGAGGAAGGCACAACTCCATGGCTTCTGCATGCCACTTCTGTAGATTTTACCTCTAAGGGGGCCTCTCTGCCAGGAAGTACCTTGACACCTGGAATCCAGGGCTATGTATTCCTTTTGCAGGCTGTGCACAGATGAAAACCTACAGTCATCCCTGCCTGGGCACTGAGGTCCTGCTGAAACAGGACCCCTCAGCCCATCCCTGGAGGGAGCCAATCAAGTTCTTACATCCTGTTTGGCTGGATCAAGGTGCACTGAGCTTTTTCCCAGCAGGATCTACCACACATCCCACTGCTTTAGGGGAGGAAAGGCTCGAGGGAGGGATTAGATGTTCAGGTTCAGCACAAACAATGTGACAAGAACTAACACATCTAAGTTACAAATAGTTAAGCAATCAAACTTAACATATCTCAACTTATGGTTTTACCATCTTCTTAGTGTTGTCCTGGTTTTGCTGGGATAGAATCATAGAATCAAATCTCTGTTCAGCAGAGCCAGATTTCTGAAAGGATTGCAGTGTTCCATCTAGTGAAAACAAGTTGGTGAGACACTTTGTTTTAATGTTAGCTGGATTTGTGCTGAGAATGGTATGATAGCACATCGATGTTTTGACTGCTGCCAAGCAATGCTTACATTAAGCTAAGGACTGTTTTCAATTTCTTCTGCTGCACCTGTCCTTCCAACTTCTTCATTAGAAGAAGTTAGGAGGAGACACAGACAGGACAGATGACCCTAGCTTGCCAACAGAAAATACTCTGTATCATAAACATCACACTCACTACAAACTGGGGAGGGACCTGGGGATGGTCGCTGTCCATGGAAGGTCTTGCCCATAATTTTTTTCCTCAGGCTTACCTCTCCCCTGTTGTTGACTGTCATGTTTTCACTGGTGCATGGGCAGTGACTGCTGTGTAAGCTGGGTATAACTTTGATTGTTTTATTATCATTGTTCCTATTTTATTACAATATATTACTGGTGTTATTATTATTATTGTTATTTTAGTTTATTTCAGTCATTAAGCTGGTTTTATCTCAAACCAAAAATGCTCCGACCTTTCTCCGATTCTCTCCCCCACCCCACCAGGTATTTACAACAGTTAAATTGGAATACTGTGTGGGAAAAAGGTGTAAATATAGAGATAAGTATTTACAATAATAATCTTGAGTGATATACCACAAGGGAAATGGCATTTCTGTAAATCTTACTTGCCTCTGTTAGTTCCGACATCCTGCATTTTTTAATTTGTCTGCTCTTGGTCAATGATCAGGAGTCTCTCTTTCCTTCTGCTAACAGACATATATGGATTTATCAAAATTTTCAGTTTAATAATTTGCTTTATTTGATTTAAATTGAAGTAGTAAGACATAACCTTTAGGTGCATGCAGTCTTTTCTTCCTCCAGAAGCATGTGTATAGGACATGGGGAAGGGAAGAGGGCAGGAGGTCAGACAGCTGTGTTTCACTGCAGTGTGCATCCAAACCTTGCTG